TAATAGCAGTATATGAAAACTCCATTTGCCTGTTATCGGTCTACATTTAGGGGTGTTTAATGGGACCAAATACACCTTTCTTTTAACCAAGTGACATGTAATCGGGTTGACCTTGGCTGATTGCAGATTTCATGTTCCATTCCTAACAATCTGAATTTTCGTTCATTATCTCAGGGTATTTGATCAGAAAAGCGCTTTGATCTGTGTGACATAACAATATATGCTTGTTTGATATTTGGTAAGTGATTTGTCATGTACTTTCTTTGTTCCGAGGTTCAATCAAAGTCCAATTGTTTTCGTATGTCCAACTGAACATAATGTTCAACATATGCCATTAATGGTCTATTACAACAGTTCTCCATTATTTTATTTGGTTCGATCTCAATGTCATAAACTGCCTGTGGGTTTTTATTCGAATTATTTTTTATGACTACCCCTTATTTGCATCGTTAACCCACTTTTTCAGCCGACAAAAGGCGTTGTTTTTAATTTACGATCTTTTTACGATCTTTTGTTTCCAGCTTACGATCTCTTGAACATAAATTCTTAAGACCAATAACTATTTAAATGCAAATGTGGGCGAATATGCAAATTTCTTTTGAAAAATTTATGGCATGATCTGTTAATGAACGTTTTAATTTGGCAATTTTCTAGTAGTTTCATTTTATTGATGACTTTTTTTCTACCAATTCATTGGATAATTTTTGTTATGTTAAATTAAAACGAAAACGAGGCTTCTGAAATATATAATTAGCAGTCAAGTTTGGTATTTACCCGCGCTAAACACTATCACACTATTCTTTGCTTGATCTTTCCAAGCAGAAGTCGTCTGACTTTGAAAACCCGCCAGATTACTAAGAAATGAAACAAAAAATATAAAAAGTTTCCATTCGTAGAAAAATTAAATAAACTGTAAAAATTATCCGTTTTTACTGAAAAAATCAAACTCACTTATGGTAAAGGTAAGTTATATCCTTCAAATTCTCGTAACAAAATGTGTAGCCAATTTTGGAGCCTTAAGCACGGAATGATTCAATCGCAACATCGATGGAAATTTCTGAAAAACGGTCAATGATTTTAAAATTTTGCGTTATTTTTATAATGTTTTCCGCGTTTTGGGCTCTAAGATAAGCACGCACTAGCAGTTTCAGAAAATAGAAAACTGATACGAATAAATAATGAAATAAGTTAAAGATTGAGGAGTGACTTCGTCGTCGACATCCGATTGAGCGATAAGTTAATTTTTGGGTGTGAATAGCAGAAACATCCGACTGAATCAACCCAGGCATACCGGAAAACAATTTGTGGCTCTTTTCCAGTTTCTTACCCCCTTGTGAAATTACACCATAAAGTTATTTTAAAATTTTTCATACGAGAATCTGCATGTAAGAAAAGTGTTATTTGTTCACGTCATGTTTCAATGCAGTTTATAACATAAAAAATCATTTTAACCATTCTTTCATATATTAAGTTCCGAAAAAATTAAAAGAGGAACTGCAAATTGTCGCACTCATTTTGAATGGGTAGAGGTAGCTAAACAATCATATTCTTCTCGTCTGTAAGCGAACTAAACTCCTTTTTATCCTCTCAGTTGCTTCTTAAATTTCAAAAACATTGTCATACATGTTGTCATAGTCTTGCATTTTTTTTCTGGTGAACAATTTTCTTTTTAACACTATTTAATGTTTATATTTTACAATTTACTTTTTGATAATAGCATGTAAATTAAGCCATAATATCTGTTAAAACAAAAAAGAATTTATTTATTTTTTAAACGCATATATCTTTTTCTTATTTTTTTCTTGCATTTTAATCTTTTTTAAAGCTAATTCCTTGCGCTTTTTTGTACGAAGAGGGTAAACTTTAGTATACAAAAATGACTTTTGACCGTGATTCGGAATTCTGATTTTCAAAAAAATAACAATTAAGTTGTTTCAATGTCGAGAAAAAAAATCCTTTTTTCGGGTTTTCAGAGAAAATGATTTTTTCAGACTGGAAATTTTAGCTCGTTTTCTTTTTCCCCCACCTGCAAATTCTGTAAAAAAAGAGCCAAAATTTTAGACTATTTTTCCAATTTATTATTTTGTGACTGTTCAAAAACTATCCATCAATAGCCAGTTTTTTTTTAAACTCATAACCAATTCAGTTTCCTCGCACAGCCTAAAAACATCAATAGCCAGTTTTTTTTAAAACTCATAACCAATTCAGTTTCCTCGCACAGCCTAAAAACTAAACAACCAAAATTCAAAAAAAAACAGAAATTTTTTTTTTGGTTTCCTATTTTTATATATTTATTGAAAAATTTGCGTGTTGGTTTGAAAAATCACCAAAGATCTCTGAAATTCAAAGAGCTTCAAGGTCGTATATATTTTTAGGACCCTCGAAAATTGAAAAAAGTTAACTTGAAAACTTTTTATTTTTGCAAAGATAAATTGTCTCTGAATGCCTTTTGCTACTTGCACAGCAACTGCCTATTTTTTTGTTCGAACCATTTTTAAAATGTGGAGGAACTTTATATTCGGGTGTGTTTTAGTTTTTTTTGGTTTTCTCGCAAAATCAGGTACCATAAATAATCATGGCTCTTTTCCAGTCCCCCCTTTTAAATTCAATTTTGGAAAGTCTATTTAACGTTGTCACAATGCAATGCAATTTGGCGTGAACAAATCGACAATTCTGAACAGATTTGTTCTTCATACTCACGCATTTAGCCGTAATAACACGCAAAACAAACATAAAGCTCGGTATTTTGAAATTGGGGAACTGGAAAAGAGCCATAATCATCAAAATGGGTCGCGTGATAAATCATCGAGAAAAACTAGCTTGAAATTTTTTGATTTTTGGCCTAATTTCAAGTTAGTAAGGGTTAAGGTGAGCGTGCACAGGCTTACAAACTAGATATTTATGCTTAATTTAAGCCGTGAAAACTTAGTTTTAAAGTTAAATTACTTGTTGGGCTTTTTAGCGCCAATTTGGCTATCAAAAATTAAAAAATTCAAAAAATGTCTGCTAAAAATTCAAAATGTTTTTAGAATTTTTTAACGACTTTTTTTTGGGTCTTCCTCATTATAGCCCCCCCCAGCCTAGTATCAAAAAAATATATAGCCCCCCTATCCTTTCTCATTATAGACCCCCCAACCTTTCCTATTATAGCCCCCCTCCCCCCAAAAAAAAAAAATTTCTAATTATACTAATAGGCAGATCAAATAATAACCAGTTTTTTGTTCTAATGGGCACTTCAGGCCGACAACTTCTTAGCTTACACCTCCATCTGTATCGTTTGCATTTCGGATCGTCTGAGATGCACAAATGCATAAAATGACCATTAGCACAAGTCTTTTCCTGTGGAACAATATCAAACTCTTGCAATAGTTCAACTATTTCCCATTTATGTTTTGTGATGTCTACTATTTTGACTAAATTTATCGGAGCCATAAGAAATCAACTGACAGATGATATAAAGTCAACTAGGCGAGGTCTAGGTGAGGCAACTTGAATTGATACTCAATCAACATATTCAATCGGGGGGGGGGGGGGTAGTATAATGGGAAAGACCCTTTTTTTCATTTTTAGCCATTTTTTTTTCGCAAAAACGGTTTTCCAATCGGCCTATTGCCGCTTTTCCACTTCCTGCCCCCCCCCACATTTGAGTTTCAGTTTTAAAAATTTTCTTACGTTGTCACAAAGTAATGAAATTTTGCAGGGTGAACAAACTGACTATTATGAATACATTTGTTCTTCTTACCTTGCTTCTTAACATCATGCGTTCAGCCATAATAACACATAAGACAATTAAAATAATAGAAAATTTGAAATGTGAGGGGAGGAGAGAGTGGAAAAGAGCCAGCATATTTTACTATGATTTTTTCCCATATCGGCTCTTTTCCAGTTCCCTCCCCCCTTTCAAATTCAAATTTGAAAAGTCTATTTAACGTTGTCATAATGCAATGAAATTTGGTGTGGTGAACAAATCGACAACTCTGAACAGATTTGTTCTTCATACATTACAGCGTAACATCACGCATTTAGCCGTAATAACACGTAAAACAAACATAAAACTCGGTATTTTGAAAGGGGGGAACTGGAAAAGAGCCCCCATATCTTTTAATAACATCACGCACAAAAAACGACACTAATTTGAAAAAAAACTTTTAAATCATTTTTCAAGACTATGGTCGGAATTATCTGTGCTATTTGTACAGTAACCGGCTATCCTTGTTTAACTATAGATATAGTTATCAGACCATCAAATGTATGGTACAACTGGTGGGACTTGGAACTGGAGATCAGACAGAGCTCAAGGATTAATTTTAAAATGAGCTTTGAATGGTCAAAAGTTGCACTTGATTTGTCTTCATGTATATAATGTACACCAGATGGCACTAAACTGTTCAAATCCTTTTTTAGTTCAATTTATTGCGATACCAATTATGGCTGTATTTTGGTTACATCCTCAAAACATTCGATGTTGATATTTTGAAGCGCATGTTTTTTTTGCGTTTTGATTTTTTTTGGTTCATCGAAAGTCAGTTTGGATAGGAAAACAAACGTTTTTTTTTGTTTATTTTTTGCAAGCAAAATTTTTTGTGGGCGGTCCTCCCATTGAAATAACTTGCTTTTGTTGCTGTTTATTCATGAAAAATTAATAGTTTTACTATTTTGGAACGCAATAATTTCCTCAAATTTTTCAAAATTGAAAGGCTGAAGGCACAGGTAGCCGAGGTAGGTGTATTACGTTAATTCTTCAGCAGATGTTTCGTAGTAAATCTCTTTCCGTTTTTTTTTCACGTTATCACAGTTGAAAAACCGTCTCTGCGTAATATTGAATTGTTGCTTTGAATATAAGCTTTGTCTCTGTTTAAAATAAATATTTCCAGTCCAACTCAAATTTGGCATTCTCTCCCATATATCCATCAGTGCTTTCCTAATAGCGCTTCACTTCCATTTATTTTGTTTTGTCTACCTTATTCTGTTTTCAAGCCTTAACTTGCGATTCTGTTTAGTTTTGAGCTGCCTTTCCCCGCATCGAAGCACAACTGAAATCAGAAAATGACACCGTCAGTTACTGAATGGATTACGTCACAGAGGAAACCCGAAGATACAAATTCGGAACAAGCCAATCAGAACGAAGCCGCCGATGATGTAACATATTACGCAACTAACGGTTCCGCAGTTCGCCAAAACTACACTGCAAAGAAAGATGAAATGGGTTCCGGCGAACAGAGAAAGCCGGAATCGGAAACTGAAACAAAAATTCTTGACCAAAAAACGGACTCAAACCAAGCGATCAAACATGTCAACGGGTTCCACAAAAACGGCGAAGTAAGCAAAAGCTATAAAAATGGAACCGCTAATGGTTTCAAATCAGTACCATATATGGAAACTCCCCCGGAAGGTAAAAAGTGTCTGGGAATAGATGGGTACTGGTATGACATCGGCAGTTTCATTAACAAACATCCGGGAGGTCCCGTCATTGAAGAGTTTGTCGGCTACGACGCAACTGACGCGTATCGAAGCTTCCACAAGAGCAATGTTTTAAAAGAAAGACACTTTCGGCCAATTGGGTATTACAACAAAGACTGGTTTGAGTTTAACAAAGCGATGTCAAAGTTGCACGATGATCTGCTAGAAGAAGGGTTCTACAAGGTGAACTACTACTGGTACGCAATGAAATTCGGCCTCACTTTTCTGTATATATCCTTAGTGTTCGCCCTGGTTGGCTTCTACGGAGACTCGTGGCTGGCGTTAAGTCTGGCCGCCCCCGTGCTGGCATTTTTCTGGCAGCAGAATGGCTTCCTTATGCATGACTTGATGCACACTCAAGTTACCCATAACCGAAATGTGGACGAGATGTTAGGAGTGTGGAGCGGAACTGTTTGTATTGGTTAGTGATTAACTAAAAAGACCTACGGAGATCAAGGAGGACATCCGGTTTTTTGACCAACCCCAAGGGGTTTTATAGGCGTCTATATTACATTGTATATTATTTTTTACATTGAATTGGTTATTTTTCTTAGAAACTGATCAAATTAGTACTGATAGGGCTATCATATGCTATATCTATCGCTTCCTTTCGAAGTCTTTCTGTGACAACTGATTTTTGTTGAAATATACTCAAAGTAAAACAAAAACTTCGTGATAAGAAGAGAAGTTAAAAGTAGCCCAGATAACATCGTCCTACTTCACAGGTTGACCCTGAGCCACTTTTTAACGCGTTTTCAGTTTGTTTTTCTTGCGTAAAAAACTTCGTTTTTGATTGACAGTTTACGACTCTCCCGCAAGCAAAACGTTTTGGCGAATATGATTCTAATTTGATTCAAATTTTATTTAACTTAGAGTAGAGCCAAAGAAATTCAAATCCGTATGGAATATGTAGAGAGAATAGTTAGTTCAACGGTACAAAGTTACGAAATTCTGTAAAGGAGTTTTTTTAGGTTAGTTTTTTGTTTTAAAGAAACGTCCTAAAACTTGAGCACAATAAATTTTGATTTTTTTTGCAGTTTTATTTTTGATTTACTTTTTTAGTTCAATTCACTTTCCATTGCTAAAATGAAGACAAAGTACGCTCTCCAATTAGAAAATACAACAAGACTGCTCGTATCAGGGCAAAGCCCTGAATGTTCCGACTGCCTTTTAAGGTTTATGGAGCAGCAGTAAAAGCATAAAAAATTAAATGAAACAAAATAAAAAGAAATTTTTTTTATTTGAAATTTTTTAAATAAAAATCATCCCCCCACACGCCATATAAAGTACAAAAAGATAGATTTTGTTCCTTGTAACAAATCAATTATGACAAATAAGCTTCGTTCAACCAATTTGGAACGATTTATAAGACGGATTAAATCTCCGCTTACGCGTTAATAGCGCGAATGATATCGCGCGTTAATTGTCCCAAATTGGTCAAAATGGCAATCTTTAAACCCTCATATTTTTACGCAAAATGATCACAGGTGAAATATCTAATCAAATTTAAGCTCAGGACAACAATGGCTTTTGAATGATATAAAAAAAATCCGTCAAAAATGGCTAGTTAAAAAGTCGAAATTTGTCTGAAGAAAAAAAAACCCACCCCGAGCACAAATATTCCGTTACTTTTGTATCGAAAGTCGGAACAATAACCGCGAAGAAGTTTTAGTGACATTTGTTCGAATTCTCAGTTTTTTGTGGATTTCAATTTTCAGATTACCTAGCGGAATAGACCACTGTATTTATTCTGGCCTTTTTTATAACTTTTTTATAACTTATAAAAACAGGAAACAGAATCGGTTTAATTCAAGAGAATCAATAAACGGCGAATTTTAGTAATTTTTATTGCACGGAATTAGCAACAACATTACACGTATCAAGTTAAAAAGTGGGCTTGTTCATGCCCTGATTTGTGTGATTTATGTGTTTTTTCACAATGAGTTCATACTTAGTTCACGCAGTTTAATTAACAGAAACTCAATTGCAAACCAATTTTGAACCGATTAAAATATTAGCATTTTATGTTCTGTCAGGTTCGGCTCAAATAGGATTCTCAAATGAAACGACTTAGGTGAGAATCGAACCCACGCCGAACTCCCCGGAACGCACTATGTATACGCTGAGCTATATAGCTGATATTGCTAAGCAACTATACTGGCTTTATACTATACTTTCATACTTTAATGCTATGTAGCATTAACATCCTCCACCCCCGAAGGAGCGAGAACCGGAACGAGCTTAACGAGCGGCCGAGTGTAGTTTCCGGAAACAGTCCTTAGGTTTGCGGAGCGGGCGGTGTTGTCTTTGCCGTAGTTTAGCGACGTTATGCGTGCTAGTGGGTAGTGGCCCCTAGGGCTAGTGGATTCAACTAACCACACCATATCTCCCGTTTTCAAAGAGTATTCGGGAGGAGCATGCCACTTAACTCTTTTATTGAGTGTAGGGACGTACTCACTTAACCATCGCTGCCAAATTGCGTTTGCGTACGACTGCGCACGGGCATAGCGCTTAGAGTGAGAATAGTTTTCACTCGACCTTAGCGACGGAAACGTTAGACTGTGCTGACTTAAGAGGAAATGATTCGGCGTCAAAGCCTCAAGACTATCGGGGTCGTCAGAAACGGGAGTGAGTGGACGGGCGTTTAGTGAACCTCCAACTAGGCACATGGTTGTGTTCAAAATCTCGTCAGTCAACTTTCTTGACCCTAAGATTGCATAAAACACACGCTTACAACTGCGCACCATTCGCTCCCATGCTCCACCTTGATGTGGTGCACTTGGCGGATTATACTTCCACTTAATGCCTTTGTGTACGAGCGACAGTGGAGCTTCTGCGTTCCAATTTTTGATGCACAGAAGAAGCTCTTTTTCGGCTCCTACAAAGTTTGTTCCGTTGTCCGACCAAATTATTGAGGGTGTTCCTCGCCTAGAAATAAAGCGCTCGATAGCCATCACACATGAACTTGTGTCCATGGATGGAACCAACTCAATGTGACTTGCGCGAGTCGTTAAGCAAGTAAATAGAAAACCCCAGCGTTTCTCGGAAGATCGACGAATGGTTACATGAAATGGTCCAAAATAATCGACGCCGCAGTTTGAGAACGGTTGCTGGCGGTAACCTAGACGCTCCGCGGGAAGGTCAGACATCATTGGAGTAACGGTTTTCACTTTTCGCTTTCTACAGCACACGCAATGTGTTTCAATAGCTCTTAGTGCAGATCTTAAGCGTAGTACAACAAATTGCTGATGAATGACGGAACGAAGGTAGTCGACTGACTGATGTTCGTGCTTAATGTGATAAAAGCGGAGAAACAATCGGATTAGGCGATGGCGGCTATCCAAAATTATTGGATGGCGAGTTTCGAATGCGGTTGCAGAGAGACGTTGGATACGGCCGGTAGATCTAATTAAACCGTTCGGCCCGATAAAAGGCGAATACGATGATATACGGCTCGACGTTTTCACATATTTTCCAGCTGCTAATTGTTTACTTTCAGCTGGGAATGTTTCTAACTGCGAAAGTTGCAAAAGTTTTTCCTCTGAAATAACAAGTTCTGCTGGATCAATTATGGCCTTATCTGGTGATCTGAAATGTCTATGCTTAGGTGAGAGTCTCAACATATATGCGACCAGTCGCTTTATCTTGGAGAACGAGCTATACTCTTCCCAAGGGAAGGCAAAGTCAATCGAAACTGCAGTGCACGGAAAATTGGAAGAGACCTCTAAACCCTCGTTTAGATCGTAGACCGGACCATCCAGGCGAATTTTGTCAGTAACTTCCCTATTTGGATTGAAAGGCCAATCAGAAGTTTTCAAACAGGAAGGGCCGTTTACCCAACTGCTTTGCTTGAGAGAGTCAGCAGTAATACCTCTAGTTCCGGTGTCAGCGGGGTTGTCTCCACTCAAAACATGGAACCATTGGTCAATTGATGTTGACTCCAGAATCTCGGCTACTCGATTGGCTACAAACACGGGCTGTTTGCTTGTCGAGTTCAACCACTGAAGGACTGTTGTGCTGTCAGTCCACATGAACACTTTGGAAATACTCAGTTTCAGAGCTTTCTCGATATCATCCTTCAGGCGACTGGCAAGAAGCGCAGCCTGAAGTTCCAACTTCGGAATTGAAAGCATCTTCATCGGGGCTACCCTTGCTTTACCGAAAACAAACGCTAGTTGACATTTGGAACAAGCGTTTTTTTTTGAGCTCGAAGGAATGCTACAGAACAGAAAACGTCCAATGAGCTATCACCGAACATGTGCAGCTCAACCTCATCTACTGAGAAGTCAAAATAGCAACGAGGTATTTTGAGCTGCCCTAAAACTGGCAAGCCAGAGTGCCATTCAGTGAATCTGCGGCACAACTCAATTGGCAGTGGGTCGTCCCACTGTTGGCCACTCAATCTCCAGATATCTTTCAGTTACAAACGTGCGCGTACGGTATACGGGGCGACAAGACCTATGGGGTCGAACACGGAGGACACAAAACTAAGGACCGATCGCTGCGTAACAGAGTCTTTGAGTTCGCGGTTGACTCCTCTGCTCACAACCAACGTATCGGTGACGTGGTCCCATTTGAGACCGAGAACATGCGATGCGGTTTCCGGATTAATCGCAGCGGTAATAATTTTTTTACTGTTGTTAGCGCTGGTCTTAGGGGGATTTAGTTTCGAAGACAAACTGGGAACGTTGCTAATAAATTTTGTAAGATTAAACCCACCCAACTTAAGCAGTTCAACTAAACTGCGACTTAACCTTAAAGCAGTTTCTGGGTTTTTCACAGACCCAAGGTAGTCATCCATGTAAAAGTTGTTAAGCACGGCGCAAGCGGCATCGGGGTAACGATCTTGGTTATCGACGGCTGTTCGGCGAAGAGCATAGTTAGCACATGTCGGAGAATCTTTCGCTCCAAATATATGCCTTGTATATTGAAATACACTCACATCTGATGTGGGGTCCTCCCGCCACAAAAAACGCAAGGAACGTTGATCGTTTTCTAGTAAGCCGACCTGCATAAACATGCCTTCGATATCTGCGGAAATTGCGTATTTGTGCTCTCGGAAGCGCATTAAAACGAATAAAAGGTTCTGAAGCAGATCGGGGCCGACGAGAAGGGAGTTATTCAGTGAACTGCCGTGAAACCTAGAAGCACCGTTTAAAACGCGCCGAACTTTGCCGGGTTTGTTCGGATTTAAAACTGGGTGGTGCGGTACGTACCATTCTCGGTCTGAACGGTTTTTTGAGTCGTGAGGGCTAACCGGGACCACGTAACCCTTCTCGACATCACTTCGGATATCTGATGCGTATTGAATTTTTAGGTTTAAATCTTTCTCTAGACGCTTTTCAAGAGACTTAAACTGGACCAACGAAGCGTAAAAGTTATCGGGAAGATGAATGTTGTCATCAGCCCAGAGCATTCCGA